AGCAGACGCCTCCCCGTGCGCCCGGCCCGCGACCCATCTTCGGCTCGGGCTGACGACGGCCTCTTACGGGCCGCGCCTGGTGGGGAGATGATGACTGAACCCCAGGAGCGATCGACCCTGCCAGGCGGTGGCCTCGCAGCGTGTCCCCAAAGTCCCCGGCCCGCTCCCTTCCTCTCTGCTCGGAACACCTGTTACTCTGGCCTTCAGCCCGTCTTTCCTTTAGTACAAATCCTTTCGTATCAACGCGCTAACGTGTTAAAATATTGGTTAAAAATCTTGCTGTCCTCTTAGGTCGCGTGTGCACAAAAAAAACCCATGACTGATTCTTCTGCCTTGTGGGGATGGGTACAGTGTTACAGGTAATTTTTAGTGTGGAAAGCCGCGCCACAAGAAATCCTCCCCTCCTATAAAAAGAGCCTTGATTCAGTCGCTGCAGAAAGACCATTGATGCAGTATCTATGAAGGGCGGCTGCGTCCCGAGACCCACCAGCGAATCCGGCCGTACCTTCCGCACATGTTCAAGTCCTACCCCCATCTTGGCTGAAACCCCGAGGTACTGTCTCTCCTGAGAACCCAAAGTGACCAGCCCTGGGAGGCGCTAACACCAGCTCTTCAGGAAGGACTCCACCATCTGCTGTTGACTTCACAGAGGCTCACTTCCCTTCTCCCTGGTAACCTTCCTTCTCTCCCTTGGCAGTTCTCAGAAACTTTCTTACCGAATCCCCCTTTTGTTTAAGCTGGTTCTGGTGGTTTCTGGTGTTCACAAACAAAAGAACCTAAATAAATACTCCGTATAGGGAAGAAAAGGTGCCAAGCAGCCATGGGAGAAATGCAGGGCCCAGACCTTCTTAACTTGCTGCATAGCTCACTGCAGAGCCTAGTGGTGTAAAGCAGCTGGAACTGTGAATTCCTGTGATTCTGAGGGTGTGCTGGGCTCTCCTTATACACGCGTGTTCTGCTGAGGGTGGAGGCTGACGGGGTTACCTGTCTTCACATTCCATCTCTGCACAGGAATGACAGTGGACCATGTGGACCATGGTATCCATATCTCAGTGTCTAGAGATAGACATAGATGTGTCAATATCTAAATCTCCCTGGAGGTCCAGGCTACCCTTCCAAACTCCTGGGCGTTGTGTTCTTGGGCACAACCTGCCCAATGTCCACACCTGCCTTTTCTGATCCCCCGACTACCAATCCCTTCTTAATTCTTAATTTCTGTTGATGGCACTTCCATTCTCCCAGATACAGGGTCACCCCAGTGCCATCTCTGAGGATGGGGCATGCAGGTATCTGCCAATCAGCGCTTCACATGCCCATTCCTTTTCCGTCCCCTCCCTCAGTCGGGACTGGCCAGCCACAATATCCAGAGTGGGAATGTGGCACAAGCATCAGACCTCTGCAGTGAACAAAGACCAAATCCAAAACAAGGTCTGCAGCAGATCAGGCCTAACCGAGGCGTCTGGGGCTTGCTGGTTCCAGGCTGATGGGGAGACACAACCAAGGTCCAGGAGGAAGTCATGAGAACACTGAGGTGGACCCAGACTGCAGTGATGGCAAAGAAAAAGGGCTTAATAAACCAACCCTCAGCAACAGCTCAGCACTGTTCAACTGCCCCTTTCTCTCTTGCTGGCAGCAGTCACAGCCAGGAATCCTCATACAGAGAATACACGAGGACCTGCTTTTGTTTTGTTTTCGTTTGGTTATTTTGTGGTAATGAGGATTCAACCCAGGTCCTCCACTGAACTACAGCCACAGCTCTTCCTTTTTTTCTTTTTCTTTTTTTTTTTTTTTTTTTTTTTAGGTTTTCACCCAATTAAAATTCAGGATCTCACCAAGTTACTAAGTTGCCCATCCTGGTCCCAAGTTTGCCATTCTTCTTCCTCAGCCTGCCAGAGTCCTGGGGTTATAGGTGTGCACCACCATGCTCAGCTGAGATCAGCACTTGATTTTTTATTTTTTATTTTTTATTATTTTTTTTTTGAGACAGAGTCTCACTATGTACTTGAGACTGACCTGGAACTCACTATGTAGTCCAGGCTGGTCTCGAACTCACAGCGATCCTCCTGCCTCAGCCTCCCTAGTGCTGGGACTACGGACGTGCGCCACCATGACTGGCAGCACTTGAATATGGACAAGATTTAGACTAGTGTTTATCTGACTAGGTTATTCTTGATGGTCATAGCCTTATTTCTCCAGGCCGTTCTAGCCTTGGGAAAACTTGAGTTCCTACTAAGAAGCCTGAGGAAATGCCCCCAACCAGATGGCCAGGACCCCCTTGATGGCAGAGGCCACAGAGCTGGAATACCATCCATATGCTGTCTATACAGAGATGGAAAACTGCCCTGAGACTTTCACTTACTGAGAAATGTTCAGTGTGGGACCCACCAGCCACAAACCCTGACCTGGGCTCCAGCACACCTTCTCCCTGTATGCTGCTAAGCACAGGACTCAGATGTCCAGCTGAGCCTCTGCTCTCTCCCCATCACTTTCTTTTCACGCTAGCACCAGCATGATGGAATTTTGATGTTCTCTGTGCTGTGCACTCTCCTGGCCATTGTGGATTCTCCTTCGGCCTCCCTCTCCTCTTCTGTCTCCATTTCCTTCCTCCTCCCCCTCCTTCCTTCTGCTTGCCTCCTCCCTGAGTCCCCCTCCTTCCCTCACTGCTAAGACTCTCAACACAGAGCTCTGGCCTTCCTCCAGAACAGTCCGCTTCCCCTTCCCCCTTCCCGGATGTTCCCACTCTTGGAACCATCTAACAAAGAAGCAAAAATCTCCCCAATTACCCTGACTGCTAGATAATAAGCCATCAAACGAAGAACACTGTGATCACCATGGCAATTTGTCAGAACATAGAATTCTGTGTGCATTGTGTTGCACGGGAAATGCCTGCTTTGAGAGCAAGTCCAGATTGACTTAGTGGCTTCTTCTCTGGTGTAGACTCCTGGGGCTGGCGCTGGGCCACAGTGACTTGTGTGTTTGCATTTCTGAGGAAATTGCTCCCTTGTCTGCCACTGTGCAGGTCAAGACACCAATCTTTGTAAGGGAGAATAAGCATCCTACTGTTCACTCATTACAAAGCACAGAATATCTAGACTCCAGCTTTCCCAGCAAATGGAGCCTCTAACTCTACGGAACAGAAAGTTGTTGTCATGGAGGGTTGCCTAATGGATAGACATTCCATTGCCTAATGATAGCTTTTCTGGAAAAAGGAACCCTTCTACACTTTTTGGTGGGAATGTAAACTAGTAAAACTACTATGAAAATCCATATGGAGAGTCCTCAAAAAATTAAAATTAGAAATTCTATTTGACTAAGCTATTCCCCTTCTAGATATCTTCCCAAAAGAATTAAAGACATCATACCACAGTGATGCATGGGTATTCATATTTGTAGGAGCTAAATCTTGGAAGCAGTCTGTCTGTCCCTCAATAGATGAATGATATCATGGCGTATGTCTAGATGCCTCATATGATTATAGATGGGGCTTTTCAGAGGTGGTTAGATCTAGAATGCGTGATGCTAAGATTAAGTGTGGGATGCTGGGATCCAGGGTGTCTGATTACTAAATTAGTCCACTGATTGGTTTGGTGTAGTTCTAGCAATGGATAATGGGACAGCCCTCCCTGAGTGTGTGAGTGCCCCTAAGGGCATGTACCCTGGATAGAATATAATGGACAGAAAGAGAACTGCTGCGATTGCTTGTTGCTTGCTGCTTCTTCACTTCTTCACTGCTTTGCTGCCTTCTGCCAACCATGAACTGTTTCACCCCTGTGACACCCCTCTGCCATGCCACTCTGCCTTAGAGCCAGCCACATGTAAACTAAAACCTCTACAAACTGTGAACTGGAGTAAACCTTTCCTCTTTTTTTTTTTTTTTTTTTTTTTTTGGTACTGGG